TTGGAAATTGTGACCTTTTGTGGGTAAGGTACCAGAAGGGGTTGGCAGATATATCGTCTTCACAACAGATCTTGCGTTAGCAAAAATATTTGGATGTGTGAATTTTGAAGAGATTTGAATGCTTATCTCGCTTTTGTTTTTTCAAAATCTTGAATCGTATGTGGCACCAGAAGAAATGGTCCGATCACTACCATTTTTATGACAGATCTTGTGTTGATGGAAATATTGAAATGTAGGAAGTCTGAATGGAATCGGATATTAATTTCCCGTTTTATGAGCTTCATGGATATTCAAAATGTTGACCCTTTGAGGGGAAGGTATCAGAAGGAGTGGGCCGATATATTCATTCTTCACAGCAGACTTTGGGTTAATAAAAATATTGTGATGTATGTAATTTGAAGATCACCGAATGCTTATTTCGGATTTTATTATCGTTTGACCCTTTGTTGGGGAGGTACCAGAAGAAATTATCTGACCTCAACCATCTTTATAACAGATCTCGTGTTGATGGAAATATTGATATGTGCTAAGTCTGAATAAAATCGGATGTTAATTTCGCGATTTATGAGCTTCATGAATATTAAAAATTTTGACTCTTTTTGGGGGAGGTACTAGAAGGAGTGGACCGATATATCCCCATCTCACACCAGACCTTGGGTTAATACAAATATTGGGATGTGTGAAATCTGAAGACAATCGAACTCTTACATCACATTTTATAAAAGTTATAATATTAAAAATGTTGAGCCTTTGTGAGGGAGATACTTGATGGAGTGGACCGATATTGTCCATTTTCGCACCTGACCTAGCATTGACGCTAATATTGGCATTATCGGTTTATCCTTTCTCTTCGTGTGCAGTAAATTATTTTCTTCGAAAATGTTGACATTTTTTGTGGAAGGTACCAAAAGGAGTGGACCGATATTGCCCATCTCCGAACTCGATCTAAATTTGACAAAAATATTACGATGTACCAAGTTTGGATCAAGTCAAACCAGCCAGACAGACAGACGGACGGACATCGCTAGATCGAATCCAAATGTCCTGAAACGGATTTGGTCCAAAGAGACCTCGGGTCTAAAACCGTTATTTCGATGAGGCACGTTTTGGCCGTATCAAATGATATATACCCTCTCTAGCCATATGGCTGAGGATATAAAGGAGGAGACACAAAAGTTTCGAATTTCAGGATTTCAGATCTATTGCTTAAGTTAATAACATCTCAAATACAAACAGTGACCTTGGTATCACATTTCAGAATTTTAGCTCTCTCGTCAAATATAGTAACATTTAGTACAATTATAGTACGCATATCCAAAATCAGGGGAATTCAAAAAAGTTATGGGTACCGAACTTATTTTTTTCGGAGTTTTGAAAACAAAAATGGCAAGAAATAACAGAAAATATTTTTCCTGGAACGAGAATCCCCGCATAGGCCTTCCGCTATAAGCTAATTATGAATTTGCATCTAAACTTACTTTAAATTATGTAAATATAACAGATTTATTTAAACGTCACCTCTAAACGATAGTTTGCTACCAAAGTCACACAGTGTCCCAACGGAGTTCATCTTTTCCTTTCTTGTATTCCCTCGCATGTCGACAATCGTATTGTAAAAAAAAAAGGAATCACATTCCTCATGTTTGGTGGAAATCTCATTCGAATGACTCAAAGGATGAACGGCGTCAATACTTTGAAGGGATTAACTTAGACAATGACGAAATTAAAAAAAGCAAAAAATAAAAACGGTGAAGAGGAGATGAGTAAAATAAAGGGGAGAGGGGGAAAGTTGAGCATTTAGTGAAAGAACACACAGAAATCAAGCATGTTTTGCACAATAGGTGGAATCAAAACGTAGTTGCCTCCCGCCATGAATCCCAACTCCCTTTAAATATGTAATAGTGGTGTGTAATTGTGGAGGTGGCATTAAGCTGAGAGCATTGGAAAGTAAATAATCTCTGGAATTAGTTGCAACCGCAGTCGTATATCTGAGGTTACTTAATTAATTTCTGTGGCAAGGTTACACCGCTGTGGAAGAGAACTCCAGTGACGTGGAGAATACATTTGAATTAAAATTGATATTAAGGTGAGAGTACATAGAAGCCTTTTTTGACTGACTTCTTCGTAGGGGAACAAAGAAGTTGTATGTTGACTAAGTTGGATTTTGGCTTTTACTATTTGTTCTTTTCCAACGAAGCCAACCCATGACTTGAGCCAATCAAAAAAGCGTTTTACGTATTCTCACCTTTATTCCCAGCATTTTTATTACACTGGGCGACAAAATTCATTTTTTTTCAATAATTGTGGGGAAATCCAGCAGATTATGAAGATAGAGCTAAAAATAAAGGACACATGTATTGGCGTTTTGAAAGTTTGCATCGCAAAGTAATCTAAATAGAGGAGGCAAGTTCCCCCTCTTCCACACTCTTAGAAATCTTTGGATTAAAATTCCTCGGAATCCGTGCATTGTGTGTGTCTTTGGCAATATTGCTGATAAATATACGAGAAATGTTAACCCTGAATCTAGTCAAAAAAGCGGTCTTTTTGGTCCTTTTTTCAAAATATGGATAAAACCTAATTTTAAACGTGATCGTAGCAAGTCAAAATATTCTACAAAATTTATTGTCATAAAATTCTACTATAGGTCCTAGAAGACGTAAAGAGACTAAATCTTATCTTAACGCCAGGAATTCATATTTATTAAACAGACATTTTAAGGTTAAAGCCGTACTTTTAATGAGTTTGTGGAAAAATATACGAGAAAGCATCATCTTAAAAGGATGGCGTCAAAGACAAAAATATTCTTCATCAAATCTTACTATAGGTAACCAAAGAAAATAAATCTATATTTTCACTGCATATCAAAAAAAAAAATATAAATTTTTTCATCGATAAAAAAAAACAAACAATTTTCCACCCAGAATGAGTCAAAAAATCTAGGTACAAAAGTTTTTATAAAAATTATATTCAAGATTGTTTTATTACAACTGAAAATTATTGGCTTGTTTCAGAACTGCAAGAATATAAAAGTTTTTAGTACGATAACCGATTTTCCGTGTTATAGAACCTAAATTTTCAGACTTTCAGGGTTTTATATATTATTCAAGTTGTCCCTTCTTCGGAAAGAATAATAGAAACATTTTTACCTTTTAAACCAAAACGTCTTAAAAGCTTTCATTTTGAAGTTTACAAGGAAGATGTTAGTGAAATGGACCCACTGCCAATTTTACTGTCCAAAACTATTTCAACGTCTGCATATCTCATATATTTCAATATCTGCATACCTCAATATTATATTTCAGAATTTCAACTCTATCCCTTCACCCAATACCAAATTTAGTATAATTTGATACGCACATCCAAAGCGTTCAACATCTCTGCATCCTAATTACCAACAGTAATTCAAAATGATTACCATTTAGTACTTTTCGAAGAATTATAATACGCATTTGCAAAACCACCACGCGATACGAACAGACACCTCAATATCAAATTTCGGGATTCTAGCTCTATACATTCACTTAGTACCAAATTTAGTAACATTTAGTACTTTTCGTGCAATATAATACATACTTCCAAAATTATCTCCCTATCTCAACCTCAGCTACAAACAGTGACCATAATATCACATTTCAGTTCAATATCAATATCACATTTGGTACAATTATAGTACGCATAGCACAAACCAGCTCCTTCTCTCACCAACAGACACCACAAGTGATATCTATATCAAATATCCGGATATCAGCTCTATCCCATCACCCAATATCAAATTTAGTACTATTTAGTACTTTTCGTACCATTGTAGTACACATTACCATAGCCATCTCGTTATCTCAATCCCAAATTTCAGAATTTCAGCACTATTCCCTCAGCCTATTCCATACTTAGTACCTTTAAGCACTTTTCGTACAAATGTAGGACGCATTTCCAAATCGCCGTCAAATCTCAAACACAAATACTATCAGCAATCTAAATATCAAATTTAAGAATTTTATCTCTATTTTATCTCTCTCTATCTTTTCGTACAATTATGGTACACATTTTCGAAACTACCTCCTTATCCCAGGCTACACATGAACATCGAAGCTAATATCAAATTCAAGACTTCAAGTACTGTCTGTTTGCCTAATACCAAATTGTACCAAATATGGTACTTTTCATAAAATTATAGTACACATTTTCAAAACCACCTCCACAATCCCAGATACCAACAGAGGCCTCAACATCATAATCCGGTCTTTTAGCTCCATTCCTTTACCCAATGCCGAATTTAGCACCATTAGTACGTCAGTAGTCTAAATATCAAATTTCTGAATTGTATCTCTATCGCTTCATCCGATACCGAAAAAAGTACCATTCAGTACTTTCCATACAATTATAGAACACATTTCCAAAAAAAAACTCGATATATTCAGGCTACGCATGAAAAGCGTCCCTAATATTAAATATCAGATTTAAAGCACTATCTGTTCACACCAATACTAAATAGTACCAAATATCGTACTATTTAGTACTTTTCATACACTTGTAGTACACTTTTTCAAAACCTCCTCTTTTTCACAAACCTACCACTAGAAGGGACCCCGATTCAAAATTTCAGCTGAATCCGTTCTCATTAAACCAAACTGTTTCAAATTTCGTACCATTTCGTACAGTTCGCATACTTAGTACACACTTCAAAGTCAAAATTACTTTCGAGCCTTGATTCACATACCAAATTTCAAGTTTTGGGCTCTATCCTTTTACATAATACCAAATGGTACTATTTTAGAAGTTTAGTACCATTTTAGAACTTTTCGTAACCTTAAAGTTCGAATTTCTAAAAATCCTTTGGTACATATAGCAAACACTCCATCAGTAAGCTCGTTCAGTTTGTCCAATACTAAGTATCGAATTTTTAGTACATTTTAGCACTATTCGTACACGTTTAGTACCATAAGGCACCATAAGTTTTAAGAAACCTAATTTATGTTCTTCCCTTTTTTCTCCCCTCGTAGGCTTACAGCAGAAGAACACGAAGAGCTCGCATGTGGAACATGGGAATACTGTTTCTGATATACTATTGTGTCACTGTGTACTCGGCGAAAAATGGCGATGAATCGGCACCTCTGTCCGAACCCGGCAACGCTGAGGATCAACACGAAGAAGTTCTGGCGAAATCCGGTGAGGAAATCGACGAAACGATAGTTGGTGATACAACGCAGGTAAGCATTCATTCCGATGAAGCCTCCATTCCTCCCTTCTTAAATTCCGATTCTCCTGATATACCAGCTCATGTTCACAAGCACTGCGGCCACGCATTTGGAGCCCAAATCTGCAGTTCCTACATGGCGTCCAAGACGAGAAAACTGTACCCCTCCAGCAATTGAACAGTTCCCCCGTCCTCTAATGGGAAAATGGCTGCGGCAACATGGCGGCCTGGTGATTCATGTCCTGGTTGCCGTTTTCACCTTCTTTGGCCTGGCCATTGTTTGTGATGAGTATTTCGTGGCCAGTTTGGATAGGCTATGTGAAGGTGAGTCCGGAGCACAATATCTCTCTATCATGGTTCAAAATCATCTTCTCTTTGTAGAATTGAAGTTATCACCAGATGTGGCTGGTGCCACATTCATGGCTGCTGGCAGCTCAGCCCCCGAATTGGCCACAGTGGTTATTGGTGTGTTCTTTGCCAAGGATGACATTGGCATCAGTGGCGTCATCGGTTCGGCCGTCTTCAACATCATGTTTGTCATCTCGGTGTGTGCCCTGTGCTCGGGAACGGTGTGCCAATTGAATTGGTGGCCTCTGGTGCGGGACTGTTTCTTCTATTGTGTGTCCATTCTGGTCATGTTGATAATTATCTTCAATGACGTCATCTCTTGTGTGAGTATTTGCAACGGGCTTTTGTGAGCTTAGAACTTGTAATGATTTCCTTCTGTTCCTTGCAGTTCGAATCTGTTGTCATGCTTCTGTTCTATGTGATCTACTGTGTGGCCTTGTGTTTCAACACCGAACTGGAACGCTGGGCCATGTCTCTGAATCTTCCCTTCAAACTTCCAACGAAAGAGGAACAATCCTCCCTGGTCACCTACAAGAATGTACCCGACAGCACGTACACGGAAGGCAGTCAGCAGCAGACTAATTTGTCACAGGAGCCTAACGCCGCCTCTTCAGGAAACCAGCAGCAACAGTCATCCACATCTGACTATCAAAATTATTCCGATCCAAATTCTAGCTGGGATCCAAATGCCGCCTGGGGCGAGGAATCGTCGAGCAATCCTGTGGGAGGCAGTACCATCGCCAGTCAACCGCCGGTGGATGACTGGGGCATGAGTCAATTCAGCGCCGGACAGGGCCAAGAGAACATGGCCTACAATCCCGATCAACCCGACTCGGTGGTTACCCAAAGTGCTGGCGCCGATAGCAACAACAAACCCGTGGTGGGCAAACCCCAACCTGCGACCGGCGGTGCTCCCGAATACTACAAATCCAGCGACAAATCAAAAGAGGCCCGACCCAATCCCCTGGAGCGGCCCACCCAGGGCGGCCTGCCCGCCCTCATCTCCTGGTATGTCGTCTACCCCATTCACTTCTTGTGCCAGAAAACCATGCCCGACTGTCGGACCGAACAGTATCGCAATTGGTATCCCTTCACATTTCTCATATCCATGATTTGGATCTCATTCTATTCATACTTCATGGTCTGGATGATCACGGTCATCGGCTCGACCCTGGCCATTCCGGACACGGTGATGGGTCTAACGTTCGTTGCTGCTGGTGTTTCTGTGCCCGATGCCCTAAGCTCAATAGCGGTAATCAAAGAAGGTTATGGCGATATGGCCGTTTCAAATGCAATCGGCTCGAATGTCTTTGATATCCTAGTGTGCTTAGGTCTTCCGTGGTTCATACAAACGGCCATCATAAAGCCGGGCTCTCACGTCAATGTCATATCGAAAGGTAAGTGTAAAGCAAAGCTCACCGCCCCACCACCCCCTCATCCAAAATGCAAACAGTGAAACAAATAAAAAAAGAGAAACATTGTGTACGTGGGTGCCGCCGACTAGAAGGCATAGCCAAAATGAAACCAATCACCAGAGCAACCGCGAAGACTTAAGGACAGCTGAGGACACTCAAGTGTCATTCTCAAACGATTTTCATTCTGTCTTGTTTTGTGTGTGTTTCCTCCTATTCTATTCTACTGTCTCTCTATCTATCTATCTATCTATCTCTCTATCTGTCGATATTCTGTGGGTAAACTTTGTGTAATTGCGAGGTAATATCTGAAAAATTTTGTTCTTTACACAGACACAGATACAGATACAAACACAGACATAGACACACAGCAAACTCCCAACTCACGTAATATCACAATCCCGCAATAATGGCACACTCCCTACCACACACGCACACACCCAGACACGTATATGCAGTATGCAAATGTTATTATGCACATTAAGAAAAACACCTTCCAACACAGTTCAAAATTACAAACAGTAGAATGTATATAAATATAAATTCTAAAATACTTAAGAAAGTCCGAGGTAGATTGATTCATTTGGGCGCCACTGAATTGAAACAATGCACATATTTTGTTGATGCACCAATTTAGTGGTTCAAGATGATGAGTGAAAAACAACAACAGCAACATGGTAACGTACTAGAAAATTATCGGAACATTAAAATTTAAGATGCCGATTTCCGCCATCTTCCGTTGCAATCTTGTGAAAGAAGATTTATTGTAATATCTGAAGGATATTCTAGGACTCATAAAAGAAGTAGTAATTCAATTCAAATTCAAGATATCAGAAAATTGGAATTTGACAAGCCTGCTCCCTTTTTTAGTTAATCAAACCTATCCAGTAAGAAGTCGTTCAATAGGGCGTCATATGTGTTGGGTTTTCTTAAATGTTCCACATTTCCACGGATCTCTGGAAAAAAAGTAAGAAGATTGAATATTTGGCGCACTTCCATTTTTACCAGCGTAATCGGTTCAAACACATTAGAGTCGATTGTACCAATTTCCTGCCACAGTGGCTATTATATATTGCGAGTTTTAAATACCAAATTAAAAAATAGTCTGTTAAAAATGTGGTTCATACCAAATATTTGGAGATTCCGTTAAGTGGATGAAAGAAGAACTCAGTGGCAGTCTTCTGCCACAGAAGGCGGAACCCATAAAAATCGTTTGAAAATCATAATAATACCGAATATTTTAGGAAGTACTGAAATATGATGCTATTAGAAAAGTCGACCTATATAGACAAGGCTCTGCCACAAGAGGTAGAACCCGTTACAAACTCTGAGTACCGAAGTCTAAACAATTCTGTTACATGTGATCAATGTGACCAATTAAATGGGGGCTATACAAAAACGTTTACGACCTTAACCGCCCTACCGACAAAATACACATCCTTTCGTTGGAAAATATTGCTTACGGACACGTTATCGCCTATTTGTATAGAAGTTTCGAGAATTTTCGCAATAGATTTACGATCTTGAATGTATATTAAAGTCCATATTTTTTTATATGAACCAAAGGTATGCTACTGTGAAGAGCTTCTAGCGAGGTATTTATTTATATGGTTTCTTTAATATAAAAGTCGCCACTGATGGCAGCAACTCAATTTCAAATTGTTATACTTTAGGATTCGGATCAAAATTGAAACGAGGATATTTTTTAAATATGAATTCACTTAAAATATATTTTTGAAATAAAGATTATTCTGACTCTACGACATCGAAAAAAATGTTCGAAAACTAAAAGATTCTTGCAAGTTCTGAAACAGAGTAAATATTGTTTCAGTACTTTTGTTAGTATTTGGAATTCGTACATTGGGAAGTACTCTGTTAGTATTATATCATGACAATGGGTTCGTGACTACGTTGGGCGCCATTATGTCTTGCCCCAGATGAGTCAAAAGATCGTGAGACTTTTAACATCAGAATTATGTATTGCAGGCGCCATTATCAAAATATAAAAAGACTTTTAATATCAGCATTATGGTTTCGAGACCACGTTGGGCGCCATTGTGTGCACTCCCAGATCACTCAAAAGTTCATGAGATTTTTAATATCAGGATTCGGAACTTCTTTGGGCCTATTATCAAAACATAATGAGACTTTTAATATCAGGATTATGGGTTCGGGGCCACGTTGGGCGCCATTATGTCTTTCCCTAGATGAGTCAAAAGAACATTACACTTTTAATAGCAGCATTATGTATTCGGAACTACGTTTGGGGCCATTATCAAAACATAGTGAAACTTTTAATATCAGCATTACAGTTTCAGGACTACGTTGGGCGCCATTACATCTTTCCCTAGATCAGTCAAAAGGTAATTACACTTTTAATATCAGCATTATGGATTCGGAACTACGTTAGGCGCCATTATGTTTAGTCCTAGCTCATTCAAAAGATCGTGAGACCTTAAATATCAGCATTATGGGTTCGGGACCACGTCGGGCGCCATAATCAAAAGATAATCAGACTTTGAAAATATCAGTTTATGGGTTCGGGACTAAGTTGGACACCATTATGTCTTGCCCTAGATCTGTCAACAGGTCATAACACTTTTAATATCAGCAGTTTGGGTTCACTTTGGGAGTTCCACTTTGGAAGCTATTATGTCTACTCCTAGATCGCTTAACAGTTCATGAGATTTTTAATATCAGCATTATGGTTTCAGAACTACGTTGGGCGCCATTATGTCTTTCCCTAGATCAGTGAAATGATCATGAGACTTCTATTTTCAGGATTCTTGATTCAGGCCACTATGTCTTGTCCGAGTTGGTTTTGTGTAGGTGGTAGCACATAGCGTGGCTCGATTATGCCGTATGAAGAAGGTTGTGTACAGTTAAAGTAATCGTGTCACTTTGGCAAGGATTAAATGAAAGTTTGTAATGCTGCGTTATGACGATCAATCAAATGAAATTCCTCCTGAAATTATTCGTATAGAATATGAAAATAATGTCAGAAGATAGAAAATCTAGGAATTTTGTCAATAAGTCGTAGTTTGATTGGAATTTGCAAAAATGAAACCTCTCTTGTTAACTGTACAAAAAATAAATATAGCTACACGATAATTGGTAATTGGTATCCAACACCCATACACTTACACAATACATGTTAGACAAAGTATTTTACAAGGAACTAATATCTATTTTTCTCTCTTTCTCTCTCCTTCTTCTTTAAATTCCATTTCGTTTTCTTCCAGGTTTGACCTACTCCACCATTTCGCTGTTCTCCACGGTGATATTTCTAATACTCTCCACACATTTGAATGGCTGGAAATTGGATAAACGCCTCGGCATCATACTGATGGTGTGGTATCTGCTATTCATAACGCTGGCATCGCTGTACGAACTGAATGTGTTCGGCTACATGAATCCACCTGAATGTGCAAGTAAGTACTCTGTGGTAATTATCCTGAAATCGCAAATACCAATTCTAATTGTCTGTTTTTTGCACTCGTTTCCAGGTGATTATTAAGTAACTCATTTATTTATGGCCTGTAAACGCAATAACATGGAAATGTCAATAACCCGAGAGCATCCCGCACATAAATACATGCATACACATTAAAGCGTTTTACATTGTTGTTGAGTTTCGTTAAGTTTCGTTCGGGCAAATCGAAAACGGGAACGGCATAAAGTAATTCAAAATTAATAAACAACTACAACATAGCCATTAACAGAACTATAAAAAATAGCCACCACGGAATAAAGTATTAAATAATGGATTAGAGGATATATATGAAAACGCAGCACTTCCACATCCCCCCACCCCCCGTGACGCCACCACCACCACCCTTGGTAGAGTTTGGAAATGGACCGAAACGAAAAAAAAAATTCAAAAAATGGAAAACTGTTATACTCATCCCACAGCAGCATTTATCGAATGAAATTCTACAGAGTCAATAAAATTAGTATCGACAACCACAATAACAACAGCAACAACAACAACAACAAAAATATTAGCATATTTTACATTTTTACAACGCACCATAAAACAATAAAAAGATGAAGAAGAAGAAACAATTAAAATAAATTAGCAAAAAGTGAAACATAATAACAATAACAACAATGATAATAATAACAACAAAGGTAATGATAATAATACAATAATAACAACAACAAATAAACAACATTTGTAGTTAGGATATAATTTTTAACATTCTAAACCAAAAACAAAAACGTAACCACATATAAACATTTATTTTTCCAAATTAAAATGTTTGAAATCCATAAAAAACAATTATAAAAAAATCATTTTAATTTTTTTTTTCAAATTTAGCAAATAATTGTTAATTAATTTGAAAACAAAAATTTTATATATAATTTCCAAATTAAAATGTTTGCAATCCATAAAAAAAATTATAAAAAAAATTAATTTTAATTTTTTTTCAAATTTAGTTAATTTAATTGAAAACAAAAATTTTATATATAATTTGGTTAATTTATTTATTGATAACCAAAAAAACATAAATGCAGTCATTCCAAAAATATAAAATCTGCGAAGCATTTGCAATGAATGATTTGGATAAACGAAATGATTGGGTCAATATAATCGAAAATTATTTTGAGTTCTTTTAATTTTTTTATTTATCTCTTTTTACCTCTGGATGTGTTGTGGCGTTATTTGAAATTTTGTTTTATATCCAATTATGAAAACATATTTCAGAACTATCGCAGTTTATCCTTTAAAAAAGTAAAAAAAACAGCTAAGTTCGATTTTTTTTATATCCTCCACCATTCGGAAGGAAATTGAAAATTTTCAAATAATATCCCTCGAAAAATACCGCTCAAATAAAAACCTTTAAAATGTGGCTATACGAGGACGTGTTACTGTATGAGTAATTTTTTGTCATAGGCTGTAGTAACAATTTCGAACTTCCAAAAACGAAATTCGAAACAATTCCGGCGAATAATGTCGCTAATATCGCCAAAATACGGCATAGGAAGGTACCGTTGTATGGGGCCATATATTAAGACGTGGACCTGCATTGACAATTTTCCGTCATAGATTGTAGTACCCATTACGAACTTCAAATACGAAATTTGATGCAATTCCGGTGAATAATATCGCGAAAATCCTGAAAAATACCGAATATATCGGGGTAGCGTTATATGGGTGCTATAACGCAAAACGTAGACCTATATAAACAATTCTCTCCCAGGGAGTAAAGTACTCAGAGGGAACTCCTTGTGTGGATTTTCAGACTATGTTATTGAAAAATGTAACTAAAATGATAAAAATACCGAATATCGGGAGATACAGTTATATGGGAGATATTCGATATCGTGGCCTATATAGACAAATTTTTTTCAGGGGGTAAAGTAGTCCTTCTTTGGATTTTAAGACTATTCCATTGAAAAATGTGATTAAAATAATACATATGCAAGTGTGTGATGGCAAAAATTATGAGTCATATGCATGGTAGAAGAATACAGGTAGATGCATCAACGCTTGGTAACATTGATATATGTATGGCGAAAATCGGAGGTTGTTACAATATGCATTTTTCAATCTTTTTTTTATAAATTTGAATAATTATACCCTCTCCAGCCATATGACTAGAGAGGGTATATATCAATCGAAATAACGGTTTTAGACCCTAGGTCTCTTTAAACCAAATCCGTTTCAGGACATTTGAAGTCGATCTAGCGATGTCTGTCCGTCCGGCTGTCTGTCTCGCTGGCTGCTGCACACGATAACTTTCGAAGGGAGTATCCGATTTGGTCCAAACTTGGTACATCGTAATATTTTTGTCAAACTTAGATCGAGTTCGCAGATGGACAATATCGGTCCACTCCTTCTGATACCACCCCCACAAAATGTCAACATTTTCAAAGCAAACAATTGACTGCACAGAAAGAGAAAGGATCCGAATCCGATTTTGCTCCAACTTTGCAAATGCTAATTTTTGCGTCAGTGCTAGGTCAGGTGTGAAAATGGACAATATCGGTCCACTCCATCAAGTAGCTCTCCCACAAAGGGTCAACATTTTTAATAATTACAACTCTTATAAAATGTGATGTAAGCGTCCGATTATCTTCAGATTTCACATATCCCAATATTTTTATTAGTCCAAGTTATGGTATTAAGATGGAATACATCGGTCCACTCCTTCTGGTACCTCAGCCACAAAGGGTCAAAATTTTGAGTAGCCATGAAGCTCATAAAACGCCAAATTAACATACGATTCCATTCAGACTTGGAAAATCTCAAAATTTCCATCAACACGAGATCTCTTATAAAGATGGTAGATATCGGACAATTTTTCCTTGCACCTCACCCACATAGGGTTCATGATTTTTAAAAACAAAATGTTCAAAAAAAGCGAAATAATTGGATGTTTATTTCGCTTTCTTTGAGCGTTTCTCTTCAAAGTTCTCACATCGTCCAGAGAGGGCCACAATTTTTAATACTTGTATCTGTCCTTACAACTGGCTATATCTAAAAATTTCTCTCAACCAGAAACCTGAGATAAATCTGGAATTTATGATTAGACTTTAAAATATTTCAATTTTTTAACAAAAAAACCCCCAAACACATCCTGAGAGTGAACTTTATATATTTTTTAAAGCAAAAGCAAAATTCAAAATGGTTTCTTTGCAAAGAGAGCATAAAGAACTTAAAATAAATAAATTAATAAATACATAAGAATAATTAACAATAAAATGCAACGAATTTTTCGTTTATATTAAAAACAAAGAAATAAAGAGCTACACAAGATTGAAAATGTAAACAATTTACAAGTTTAAAAAAATGATTATATTAAAACCATTATTATTATTATGATTATATATAAAAAAATATATACAAAATAGTATAGTAAAGACATCCCAACATACCAAAAATACAATACAGCTTGAGAATAATATTATGAAAATAGTTTATCATAAGAATTTTTCAACAATGCTTGAGAAACACTTTTTTGCACAAACTTTTCTCAAATCTGTCCTTTGTTGACAAATTTGTTTTGATTTTTTTTGTGAAAATTGTCAACAAAAAATTATTTTCTTTGGTTAAAATCAAAATCACGCGAATTTAGGACCCATTTCCGGACGAAACTCTAAGGTAATGATGAATAATAAATCTGGGAATCTGTAGTATAAATTATTTCAATCTCATTTCAGAATGGAGGCGTCAAAAAGTTGCAGGAATTCAACAGAAGTGAAGAAAAAATGGAGGAGATACAGAAGCTCAAATAAGGGGAAAGAAAGCATCTAGGTATCAAGGCAACAGGATGCAGTGACAGCTGGGATGGCAATCAATGAATGAAATGTGTAAAATAATTAAAAAATGAATAAATAAATATTTTTTACCATTGAAAAAATAAGCTTTATAAAATATTACTTTCGTAAGCTTATTCTGCAATTACAAGAATAAGCTTATGAATAAGGGTTCCTTTTCGATTATTCTATAATTGTTAAACAAACATTTCTCAATACATTCTCAAGATTTTCTCAAGCTTTAGGCTTATGTTTGTAAGCTTATTAAAATATTATTCTCAAGTCAATTTGGTATGTTGGGATGCTTTGTAATTTTTTTAAATTTTTAATTGGCAATAATTATTAATTTTTTGTTTTGTTAAGGCAGTGCTTAGAAATAGTCAATACAACATAATTGTAAATGCTGCACAATTATGATGTAAAGTTTGAGTGTTGGCAAATTAAAAAAAAAACAAAATTTAAATTTATTTATATTATTTGAAATTCAATTTGAAATTATAGCATGTAATGGAACGCCTACAATCAATAGAGTTTTCCTTTACAATTCTCCAAAAAAAAAAAAAATATTGAACAAATCTACCAACCTGTCTTCTTACAAATGTCTTTCAATTCCAACCATGTTTTAGTTTTTTTTTTTTTTGTTTTTCATTTATTTTTAAGAAAAACAACCAACTAACAATAATTCATGTCAATTTTAATCTCAATGTTAATTACAAAACTAAAACAAGTTCAATTTCTATTTCGGAAGTCAATTTAATTTAATTATTAATAATATCTAAACAAATACATTAATAACAAAAAATAAATAAAAACAATTACCAAAAAAATTAATATTGAACTTAAATCATGTAGTTACTATTCTATGTTTAAATTAAAACAATTGTTAATTGTTGTTATAATTTTATTTATTTTTTTATTTGTTAAATAAAAAAACAAACTAATATTAACTCTCAATGTCTACTACTATTTAAACAAATTGCTATGTAAATTTAGTTTTTGTTAAACAATTCAAAACCGGTAACAATAATAACTATTAAAAATTTAAAAAAACAAATTAACTATATTTAATATAAAACAATGCAAACATAATTTGTGTTACATTTAATTAATAATTCCCCAAATACTCTAACTTAGATAATATTTCCAAAAAAAAACTAATAAAAATAATTTAAATAAATATATATTTATGTTTATATCCCATGACACTAGTAACTAAGTTATATTGTTTGCTCATTAAATTAAAAAAAAATAAAACAATTGTATATTCTACCGCAAAAAAATGTGGCTAAATCAAATTTAGTTTATTCAATAATAAAATTGAAATTTGATAACTAACATACCGCTCTCGCTCCTCTATGATTACGAAACAAAATAATAGAAATCAAAAAATACTTCCACACAATAGACCCAAAAACTTCTTCCTTCTAGCTAATACCTTCAATACTAAATTTAACTTGAAGCCATTATTTATTATCAACCTCAAAATCCGTTACACAAAAGGATAACTAATTTATGTTTAACGTCATCACACGCCATTACAATAAACAATGTTTGTATGTAGTTAAATTCCATTGTCAATTGTTTCATTTGAACTTAACAAAAAAAAGCGAAACATAACCTAAACCAATTTAATAAAAAACAATAACAAAGAAAATAAATAACAAAACACATAACTTGTATAAATTAACAATGAACAAAACAAAAATAGTAAAATTGATAAAAAGAAAAAAAAAAGAAAACTGAAATCAAATGCACCACTTTTTATATATATACAAATATTATTACATGAAAAAATGAAATGCATACATAACCTCACATGTCACACAGACCGACATCATTAAAGTTACATAATATTTATTAAAAATTAATGTTCGTTGATTTTATGTCAAATCAATTATTCCCCAAACGATTGGCGCAATAAAAGTTGTGTCTGGTTACCTTAGAATTTGTAACAATTGTCTGTTTACACAAAAGTTCTGCAAAAGAGAGCAGTCACAGAGCGAAATTTTGACAGTTCTTTTACTGAGAGTTTGCAAATTCTTGCAATCAATTACAACTCTTCTTCTCCTTCCTCTGGTTTTTATTTAGACAAGAAAGCCGGAACAAGGATTCCGTCTTTTTTATACCCTATGGAGGGTATATTAATTTTGTCATTCCGTTTGTAACTCCTCGAAATACTCATGTCAGACCCAACTTTTTTACTATATATATACATTCTTGATCAGCGTAAAATTTGAAGTCGATTTAGAGATGTCCGTCTGTCTGTTGTAATCACGCTATCTTTCGATCGGAATGAGATAGAAGACTAACATTTGGCACACATGTTTATTTTGGCAGTAGGCAGGTTAAGTTCGTAAATGGGCCATGTAGGTCCACGTTTTCATATAGCCCCCATATAATGGTACCTCCCTATTTTCGGTATTTTGGTGATTTAAGCGACATTATTCACCGGAATTGTTTCAAATTTGGTATTTGAAGTTCGTAATGGATACTACAGTCTATGACAGGAAATTGTCTGTGCAGGTCAACGTCTTCGTATAGCCCCCATATAACGATACCTCCCAATATTCGGTGTTTTGATGGTTTTAACGTCATTATTCACCGGAATACTTTCAAATTACGTATTTAGAGCTCGTAATGGGAACTACAGTCTGTGACAGAAAATTGTCTATGCAGCTCCAGGTCATCGTATTGGCCCCATATTCGGTCCCTCTATTCCGTATTTTGACGATTTTAGGTACAATACTCACCGAAATAGTTTGAGATGTCGTGTATGCAGATCCAGGTCTTTGTATAGCTCCGATATAACGGTACCTCCCTATATACGGTATTATGATATTCATCGTTTATTTCAAGTTTCGAATTTAAATATGGTAATGGCTTATGACAAACAATGCCTATGTAAGTCCACTTGGTATAACGGCTATATTCGGTTTTTTTCTAAAGATTTTAACAGAATTTTTAAAGGATTTTTTTTTTAAATTTCCACATTCGTTCCACATGGTGGAGGATATTCAAAGTTCGGCCCGGACGAACTTACTGCTTTTTAACTTGTTACATTTCACAGTTTTCTTCCAAAAGAGAATAAAGCTAGCTCTCTCCTTCTTTCTCTCTCTTACAAAGATGTTACAGGCCAATTCCTGCAGAAAAAGTAACCAGACATAATTTCAGACAATGCCATTGAAAAGCGTGGCTAAGATCATCAAAATACCCAATATTGGGAGGTACAGTTATATGGGGAATATGCGATATATTGGACCAATTTTTTTCAGGGTGTAAAGTAGTCACGAAGAACTCCTTGTGTAGGATTTCAGACAATTCCACTGGAAAATGTGGTTGAATATTGGATGTTCCCGTATATGGGTCTATACGATATCGAGGACCGATATAGCCCATCTTATAACTTGGCCTGCCTGCAGACAAAAGACTGATCGGTGCAAAATTTTAGCTTCCTATCTTTATTCGTTTTGACTCTAGCGTGATAACAACAGACGGGCGGAATTTTACACTGATCAAGATTATATAGACTTTGTTGGGTCTAAAATTTAAGCGATTTGAGTTTCTTGGAAGTTAATTTATATTCCAAAAAATTTTTTGATATCGTCCCGCATTTTGAAGATAGTAACGTTCAGTATTTACAGATATTTGCTCATCGGACAAATAATGGTGTTTCTCAAATTATAGGAATTTTTTATGCTTCTTATACGAGGAATGTCTTATGCAGGGTAGACAAATATGCTGGCATGGAGACGCATAACCCCAACCTTTATATTCCATTTTTTTTTATTCACATTAGTGAATAATGTTGTTCGATAACCCAAAATCCAGTAAATGGAAGCGACTAAAGAGAGCAATTTTAACAGTCGAGTTACTGGGAGTTTTGCAAAATCCTAATTGAAAAATTTATTCAGTAGGAATCATCAGCTGATTACTAAGATAAGTTTTGTGGCCAATGCATAATTTCAGGGCAATAACATAATTATTTTTATTTTTACCATTAAAAACTTATTCCACACTATACAAATTTTAATTTTAAATAGATGTTCTCAAGAGATTAAGTGTGACGCGTACATTTTATGAAACAGCTGTTTTCTTGATAGGTTTTACTGAATGTTGTTCAATAACTTTTTGCAAAATTTATTTTGCAAAGTTATTTGTTTGAAGGTTAATTTACATTTTGATATTTACATTACATTACATCACAGTCCCCATTCATATTTTATTTCGGTTAAAATCTAGACTAAATATATTTTCCCATACATCATATCTCACAACCACAACTGTACAATCCACCAAAAAAAACCTAAAATATTGTTATACTGTCTACAGAAAATAAAATGAATTACATACATACACACATGTAAATTTATATAATCTACAAACAACAACAACAACAACAAACCAAGCATGCGTATACCAAAAATAAAAATGTTGCTAACAGACAAGTACTAAAACATTTAAGTTGTATCCTTCTGTTAATTGACATTATTTAGATAACACTAGCAGACGAAGAGATGAACTCACACACATACCACCCCAACTCTCTCTCTCACACACACACAGAGAGACAGTTATACAACCTTAATATACTGGCATTATAAACATAAATGTACAACGGCATACAAAATAATCAATACGTTATTTATATATATATACATACAAATACACTAACTTCAATTACAAATATACATACAACAAACATACTAACCGAAAGTATACTTACACATACATAGGTATATGTTAAGAACAAAACTCTAACTAAATGAGAATTATAACCATTGAAAATCAACAACAACAACAACCACAACACAAAACCAAATGAGAAAAAAACAAAAAGAAAATTAACACGATATTGTACAATGTTTACTGTTGATGTTATGTTAGTTTATTATTAAACAAAACAATTATTAACAAATGAAAAACAAAAGAAAATAAAACAAAATAAAAAAAACTACAACAACAACAATACCAATGAAACAATGATCAATCATTACAGCTTGCACCAAACAAGAAAACAAAACGAAACAAAAAATCACGAACTTTGTTTTATTTTAGAAGTATTGTTCGGCAGTGCGAACCCAACATACCAAATTGACTTGAGAATAAT